CTACATGTTCTATAATATTCAGAAAAACATGTATTAGGAGTAACTTTCTTTAAGATCATAGAATCATAGAATATCAGGGTTGGAAGGGACCCCAGAAGGTCATCTAGTCCAACCCTCTGCTTGAAGCAGGACCAATCCCCAGTTAAATCATCCCAGCCAGGGCTTTGTCAAGCCTGACCTTAAAAACCTCTAAGGAAGGAGATTCTACCACCTCCCTAGGTAACGCATTCCAGTGTTTCACCACCCTCTTAGTGAAAAAGTTTTTCCTAATATCCAATCTAAACCTCTCCCACTGCAACTTGAGACCATTACTCCTCGTTCTGTCATCTGCTACCATTGAGAACAGTCTAGAGCCATCCTCTTTAGAACCCCCTTTCAGGTAGTTGAAAGCAGCTATCAAATCCCCCCTCATTCTTCTCTTCTGCAGGCTAAACAATCCCAGCTCCCTCAGCCTCTCCTCATAAGTCATGTGTTCCAGACCCCTAATCATTTTTGTTGCCCTTCGCTGGACTCTCTCCAATCTATCCACATCCTTCCCGTAGTGTGGGGCCCAAAACTGGACACAGTACTCCAGATGAGGCCTCACCAATGTCGAATAGAGGGGAACGATCACGTCCCTCGATCTGCTCGCTATGCCCCTACTTACACATCCCAAAATGCCATTGGCTTTCTTGGCAACAAGGGCACACTGCTGACTCATATCCAGCTTCTCGTCCACTGTCACCCCTAGGTCCTTTTCCGCAGAACTGCTGCCTAGCCATTCGGTCCCTAGTCTGTAGCTGTGCATTGGGTTCTTCTGTCCTAAGTGCAGGACCCTGCACTTATCCTTATTGAACCTCATCAGATTTCTTTTGGCCCAATACTCCAATTTGTCTAGGTCCTTCTGTATCCTATCCCTCCCCTCCAGCGTATCTACCACTCTTCCCAGTTTAGTATCATCTGCAAATTTGCTGAGAGTGCAATCCACACCATCCTCCAGATCATTTATGAAGATATTGAACAAAACCGGCCCCAGGACCGACCCTTGGGGCACTCCACTTGATACCGGCTGCCAACTAGACATGGAGCCATTGATCACTACCCGTTGAGCCCGACAATCTAGCCAGCTTTCTACCCACCTTATAGTGCATTCATCCAGCCCATACTTCCTTAACTTGCTGACAAGAATACTGTGGGAGACCGTGTCAAAAGCTTTGCTAAAGTCAAGAAACAATACATCCACTGCTTTCCCTTCATCCAGAGAACCAGTAATCTCATCATAAAAGGCGATTAGATTAGTCAGGCATGACCTTCCCTTGGTGAATCCATGCTGGCTGTTCCTGATCACTTTCCTCTCATGCAAGTGCTTCAGGATTGATTCTTTGAGGACCTGCTCCATGATTTTTCCAGGGACTGAGGTGAGGCTGACTGGCCTGTAGTTCCCAGGATCCTCCTTCTTCCCTTTTTTAAAGATTGGCACTACATTAGCCTTTTTCCAGTCATCCGGGACTTCCCCGGTTCGCCACGAGTTTTCAAAGATAATGGCCAATGGCTCTGCAATCACAGCCGCCAATTCCTTCAGCACTCTCGGATGCAACTCGTCCGGCCCCATGGACTTGTGCACGTCCAGCTTTTCTAAATAGTCCCTAACCACCTCTATCTCCACAGAGGGCTGGCCATCTCTTCCCCATTTTGTGATGCCCAGCGCAGCAGTCTGGATATTAGTATGTATATAGTAGTATGATGTTGGCTTTATCCAACAGTTGTCCCCACCTAAGAGTGGGTAAGTACGAGAGCTCTGAGCTATTTCTGAAATAATCTTGGGAGGAGTTATTTCTAATTTTGTTCTTACTAGCAAGCAGCATGGAGATAGATGTATCCTTTGGACTAATAATAACCTCTTAGTAAGTGTTATGTCTGACTACTTATTAATACTTGTGATCTCATTTGGAATAATACTAGAGAAATAATATTTTCTTTGCTTAGTTCTTTAAGGTGATCTCCATATATAGCTGTTTCTGCTTTAGTTACCTAACCTACATTGTGCTTAAGTTTCTTTCCATAATCTTAATATGCTTTTTCTTTCAAATTTTCCTTATATATGTCATTTTTATTGTTTTTTCATAGTGCATAAAGTGTATATCTGCATTCATCAGAATTACAATCAAACGTCTTTGAGTGTTGCAGTTTGTGGAGGTCTTCATTAGACTTACTAATGCTGCCTTTCCAGTAATCAAATACCTACAAGAAAGCATGTAACGTAGCATCTATATGTTTTAACATTAAGTATGTGAGGTGGCCATTCCTGCTCATTAGCACTGAGGCTGATTAAGCTAATGTAGCTAAAGAATTGCTTAGTAAAAAGTGCAGAGTGCAGACAGGAGCAAAAATAGGGTGGGGAGGGAACAAAACTGGGACTGAAAAAAGAGAAAGTTGTGTCACTGGACTTATGTATGAAATTTAGGAACTCCTTCTCTCCCCCCTCTTCCCCATCTTCTTTAGTGATTTTAGGGCTCAACCTGCTCTGGTTGATGACAGTCGCAGAACTCCAGCGGGCTCCAGTGGGAGCAGGATAAACCCTTAATCATAATGAAACTGTTACATTCACAGTCACACAATATTCTCTTATCATGAGACAGTTGTTTATGACGCTCATCTTGTTCTTGCTCTTGTTCATCCCTGTTCAGCTGGGACCACAGGTTCTCTTGACAAAGCCCTGGCTGGGATGATTTAATTGGGGATTGGTCCTGCTTTGAGCAGGGGGTTGGACTAGATGACCTCCTGAGGTCCCTTCCAACCCTGATATTCTATGATTCTATGATTCTTTTGGATGTATGTTTTTAATAATGGAGAAAACATACTGCATAGAGTATGCAAAAGTTGTTTTACTTTTACTTTTTATAAGCCTTTTTAGAGATTATATTTGAGAAATCTGGTGGTGTTGCAGTGAATGGAGCTAGGAAGTAGTACGTACAGATTTGTCATTTGCAAAGGAAGTTCTCATAAAGCTGAGGGAAAAGCAAATTGTGGTTCTCAAACTCTGTCTGGAAATATATGTTCAGTCTGAGCCATAGGGGTAACATGCCGGGAGTAGTTTGACAAGTGATCATGTTATTTTTTTAAAAAGAAAAGGAGTACTTGTGGCACCTTAGAGACTAACCAATTTATTTGAGCATGAGCTTTCGTGAGCTACAGCTCACTTCATCTGATGAAGTGAGCTGTAGCTCACGAAAGCTCATGCTCAAATAAATTGGTTAGTCTCTAAGGTGCCACAAGTACTCCTTTTCTTTTTGCGAATACAGACTAACACGGCTGTTCCTCTGAAACCTGTTATTTTTTTATTATTATTTTTATAAAAGTTGCCTATTTGGATTTGCCATGCAGTTTCCCATAAAGTATGGTGAGGAGAGTCCTAATAAGCAGGCATGAGTTAAGTGTATTCGTAATGTTTCCTCTTTACACTCCTCTCTGCTGTGATGCATACAAAAAACATGACTGTGATTAGGCAGCTGATGTGCTGTGACCACGCTTATACAGTTCAGAATCATCTCATTGTTACCATGTGCATTCCATCTGCTTTTTGTATCAACCTGTTGTCTGTCATCTTATACTTAAATTGAAGGTTCTTCAGAGGAAGGACTGGCTATGTGTTTGTAATGTCTAGCACAAGGGGAACCCTGATTGAGGACCCCAGACACTACCACAATACAAATAATAATAATTCTTTTTTGTCAGAAGAGCAGCTGTGTGCAGATTGATGATGTTTGTTCTTTCCACAGGTTTGTTTTTTCTTACTGTTAGCTGCCAGTAAAATCATCATAGATTAAACTGATACACTTGTATTTTGCGGGGGAGGTAAAGCTTTAAGCTCTGATCCCATGATGAGCACTGCGCTGGAGTCCTCCAACCTGAAGCTTATTACAGGATTGGACCCTCACTTATTAGGATGTGTATGTATATATGTATATTTATATAAATAAAAATTGTACTCACAGTTTAAGTGTTATTGGAAACTGTAATAACTAAGCAAACTAAGAAATCATGTGGTATGTTAGAGATCAGATCAGGAGGAGAGCATCTGTTTACAGACTGTAGGTTTCAGGCCTTTTCTGTACAGGCAAAACTACCATTGACTTCAGTAGGAGTTTGCCTGACCAAAGAGCATTAGTGAACATGGTGGAAAAACTACTGGTCTGCACTTGTCCTACCATCAATAGTAGCATTAGAGGAGCTGCACCAGCACTAGTGCAATAGTGGGTGATATTGGTCCAAAAAAAAAATCTGCTGGTGTAGACTCCACAGTGGAATATCAACCATATTAACCAAAACCATGATTATAAACGGCTATTGCGAGATGGTGTTAACACAGTTTATAATCCCAGTCTGGATAAGACATAACCATATTTCAAAACCGATTATAAGATTACATTATTAGCAGCTTTCTTGAGGAAACATTTTTGAACGTGACTAATGTGTTTTGAATTATAGTTCACAGGTGTCACGGAATGTGCGGGAGTCCAGGCCCTGCACCCCTCTTCCTGGGATTCACTGAGACTCTCAGCCAGCCAGTAAAACAGAAGGTTTATAGGATAACAGGAACACAGTCCAAAACAGAGCTTGTGGGTACACCCAGGACCCCTCAGTCAAGTCCTTCAGGGGGAGCAGGGAGCTTAGACCCCAGCCCTGGGGTTCCCTGTGTTCCTCCACCCAGCCCCAAACTGAAACTAACTCCCCCAGCAGGCTCTCTCCTGCAGCCTGTCTTCACATTCCTGGGCAGAGGTGTTACCTCCCTCTCCCCCTCCTGGCTCAGGTTACAGGCTCTCAGGTCTCCCATCCCCAGGGCACATTCCCAGGTCAACACTCCCCTCTCCCTGCTGCGTCACATCGTCACAACAGGGTATAAAGTTAACCTGGTGTATTATGACAAACAACAAAATTAATTGAAATTACATTGTATTTACTACTTTATATGTGTACAATGCAGCATAGCAGAATAACAGCATCAAAGTCTTCCAAAAGAATGCTCATTTCAGAAATGTAGGTGTGGTCTGTCTGTCTATGCATAGATTTTTTAAAAAATCCCAAAATATGTTTCATAACTTCCTCCAGTCAGAGGGGACTGATTTTATTTTGTTTTTCTGAGAAGCAGGGGAACAAATGTTCAAATCTCTTTCCAGTCTTGAAGTCCTGACTCAGGCAAAACTCCAAAGGGGCCAATGAGAGTTTTACCTGAGCAATGACATGGTCTTAAAATAAATGACATTTCATTGGTTTGATTGGTCATTTTCACCTCAATGGTAGACACAAACTTTTGGCCATTTTAGCTTCAAGGACAATTGACTGAATTGTTGTGTTGGGTCAGTCTGGTGAATTGCTTCAGCGGATGGCCAGTCTGGTCAGGCAAGAAGCAGCGTGCAATTGGTCTGGTTACTAATACAGATAAAATGAAGTCCCTTACCATCACCATCAAGCAGCCTCCAGGCTCCAGATTACAATTGTTCAGTGTTAACCTGTCCAGATGGGATATGAAGCAGGTGGCAACTGTCAAACACTTTGGAAGCTCGATAGACCGTGTTGGTGGAGGAAGTTTTTTTGAAAGATGTGGATGCTCATATACAAGCAGCCACTGCCATGGTCCAAGCCCTTTAACAGCCTCTGAGAAGATGTCTGGACATCAAGTTTACTTCAGAGCTTGTGGCCCTGATAGGTTGCTCTAGAAATTCTGTAGAAAGGTTCTAATTCTCTATTGAATTCTTGAAGACTTTTCTGTGAGAGACCTCTTGTATCACTACTGAGGCCTATCTCACAAATTACCCCAATTTTTGTCTGTAACATTGACCATATTGCAACCCATCATTCCTCTTATTGAACAGAAAAGGAACTGCAAATGAAATATACAAATAAAAAAGCAGTGTGGTAAATGATGTAAATACATGTGTGTTTTGGTTCATGAGGCGCTCATCAACCACTCCCTAAAGTGATTTTGGCTGCCACTTGCAGCTGTGTTAGTCTCTGAGATTCTTAAAATTGCACCAAGACAAAATTCAACCCCTTGTATGTGAGCATTGGAAGTTCCCATTAAAATCAATGAGCAAACAGTCATCCTTTCTGTGGCTACTTCTGGGAACAGGAAACCACACAAGTCCTCACTGATCTCTGACTATCCAGTGTGCAATATTCCATTTTAACTCAGTCTGCAAGATGAGCTAGAGAAAACTGAATGCAGTGCACATACAATAATGCTGTTCTGCAAACAGAGTTGAGAAAACAAATATTCATAATCCTCCACAGATCATATGCTCTTTCCATGGGCAAAGCCTAAGTAAATGGGTGTGAGTGGTTGTGACGCTTCTCAAGGCACACAGGGCTGTGAGTCACTTTGTTGCTTCCTGCTTACAGCATGAGTCTTGACTGTGCGAGCTAACTTGTGTCAGCTCCCGAACATAACCACCCTATCAGCACTCAAGCACTCTCCTCTCAGTTATGCCAGCCTTACCTTTGCCCCTGCAGGTTGATATAATCGAGTCCTCGGAGGGCCAGGTGGCCTAGTGGGTAGCACACCCAGTTTCCTGCCTTGCCTCCCAGCAGGAAGGCTTTTCAGTCCAGTTCCTAACCCTTGTTTATGGGGCTTAGCTTCACACCTCAGGGTTTTCAATGTCCTTGCCCTCTCCTTACTATCAGGAAAGTGGAATGGAAATGAGGCTTATGCCTCTCCAGTTGACAATAGATGTATCCCAACCCTTGGGTCCCTTGAAAGTGTCCCTGGATGGTGTCCAGCCCTGATCACAGATATCCCAGATCCTCCATTTTCAAAGGAACTGTGTACGCCAATTTATTAGATTTTACTTTACACATCACTACACTAGAGTTCAATTATAGTAAAATAAATACATAAATAAATACAACCACACATTGATGATTCCTCATTTACAGTTACGTTTTGAGTCTTATCAGTTCTCCAGTTTTTAATCCCTTTAATGTGTGACATGTTAATTTTATATCATTCTAATTTTTTAATCAAAATGCCATGCACTACCAAGTAAAACACCTTACACAAGTGTAAGTATATTATATCAGCACTATTACCTTTGTCAACCAAACTCGTAATCTCATCAAAAGTAGATATCAAGTTAGTTTGACAAGATCTATTTTCCATAAACCCAGGCTGATTTGCATTAATTATATTACCCTCCTTTAATTCTTTATTAATCAAGTCCCTTATCAACCTCTCCATTATCATGCCTGGGACTGATATCAGGCTGACAGGCCTATAATTACCCAAGTCATTCTGTTTACTCATTTTAAAAACTGAACAACTTAATTTTGAAATAGAGATTTATCTTTGTCAGAAGGAGACTCTTAATTTGGTGAGGAGATTTCTGCAGCATGTGTTAAATAGTAATCACTTCATTTTGGTTCATATTTTATAATGCTATCTCATTTAAACGAGCATTTTGATCAACTTAAAGCATTTTATTTACTTTTGTTTTTAACTGAAATCTGAGTATTTTTCTTTCATGTTCCCGCATCGCATATTTGGTGTTCATGATTACTGGCTTACAGATATATTTTTAAACATCTGTGAATTAATAAATGAATTTACAGTGAGAGCCTGTCATTGGTGATACTAGAATTTGAATCTTCAGTCTGTCAAGAAATTATGTTGATATTGAACAAAACAAGCCGATTTAGCTCAACTTTTCTTTAGCTTAAGCTTTAGATGTCACCCGTAATTGCTTGCAAACTCCAAGGCATGTCAGGAGATACCTCGTCTGCATCAGAAAGAAAGGAAATTTCAGCTGCATTTTACCAAAATATATTCTAAGTAAAGATACTGCATAACCAATTTTGTCTTAATCAGTATTATCAATTATCCCTTCTTATTTTCCCTTCATTTGAGTCATACACCAGTGTCTCATTAACCCATACCCATCCCCTCACTTGTACTGACATATTCATTGGTTCTTCCAGCAATTTTCATAAGAATCTGCTTTCCTATAGTGCACAACCTGTAGACAGCATGTGGCCTCTCAAACTGTTTTTTCTAGCATGCTGGTGGCCCCTCAATGTGGTTGATTTGGACAAAATGGTGGCATAAAACATCGGAGTACAGAAGACAAGACAGATCATTGGCCCCTCAATTGGCCCCTCACTAAGGCCCCGATTAAGCAGTCCATCCCTATTCAGCAACACAATTAATTAAGCATATGCATAATGCTGAATAAGTATATTCAGCAAAACACTTAAGTACATGCTTAATTAATTGTTTTGCTGAATAGGGATGGTTTTAAGCATGAGCTAAAATGCTTTGCTAAATTGGTGAAACACTCTTATTAACTTCAATGAGCTTTAACATATACATATTGTTAATCTGGTTTATACTGCAGCTGAAAAGTATTTTGAAATACTTGTCAAAAGCTCCAGTAGAAACTTCTCTTGCTGAACAAGCAGCAAGTATTAAACATGCATCCTGGAGTCCATTCTGAATACGAGAATTAGAAATGACACCAGCTCCTACGTTTTTAGGGGATTTTGTGAGGAACTATGGAAGTTTAACTTCAGGCTCTTCTACTACAGGTCACAGAAAGCCTTTTGAAATCTCCTCCAAGTTGCTGTTTCAGGGAGGTGTGCTGGGGTCTGTGGGATAGGTGTCTAAAGGGCAGTGGAACTATAATAGTGTGGTGCATCCAAAAATGGATGTGGGATAAAACTGCAATGGAAACAGCATGGCTAGTGTGGAAACACTGCACTAATTAGCTCTTATTGTGGTGCTCCTACATCAATTCACTTACCAGTGGTTCAATTCGCTAGTGTAGATACAGCTGGAGACTATTGGTGCCTCTGAAAAGCATACATAGCCCATTTGTTTTCCCCTTAACCTTCCTTTGACTGAGTAGCAGCAGCTGAATAACTTCAAGCAAATCCCTACCCAGACAAGACACACAAGCGACTAAGAAGATATAAGAAAAAGGTAAGGTTTGGAGATTGTTGTTGTTGGGATAAAGTATTTTTATTTCTTTTATTTCCTACTCTGCAACCTGGCTCCTTCTCAGTGCAGCTACCAGTAGAGAGAAGCTTGGGTAGAATTCAGATGGGAGAGATTAGGATTGAAGGAGACCAGACTTCAGTGGGGAGGAAAATAGTACTGTGGGGGAGGAGATCAGGGGGCTCCAGAAAGGAGGAGACTGCATCTCTGGGGTGAGGTGAAGGCAGATAGGTCTCTTTCTTTCCCTAAGTGGTGAGGACCAAGGGGAATACAGATTAATGGAGGTAGAAAGAGACAAGGACCAGTGGACAGGAGAAAGAAGGAAACATAAGGGGTGGGGAGGGGGAGAGAGAGAGAAGACCTGGAGGAAATGAGAAAGGATCAAGTGGAAATGAGAACTAAGGATGCAGAAGGCAAGAGAAGAGCAGGTGTTGCTTGGCTCTGCCCAGATTATAGTGTCTCTTGTTTGAGTTCTATAATCATCACATGTATTTCCTACTCTGCCTCTGATTACATCTGCTCAGGAACCTTCTTTTTCCACACTTCCATGATTATACCTGGGGGGGGGAAAAACCATAGTCAAACTAAAGTGACTAAGGATCAACTGAATGGAGCAGGTTTGGTGTTTTGTTTTGAGCATTTACTCAAGCCATTAATAAATAGGAAAATTACAAATGGCCACTTTGCAAGGCAGCCAGGATTCTGAAGATGGTTGCTTGTGTAAAACATCAGATATCATGCAATTCACTCTTTTGTGAAGATGCAACTCATTTGCATAATTATTTACATACTGGTCCCACCTACCTCCACCCCTGTTGTGAAATCATAAATCCACTGGTGATCTGGTAAACTGCATTGGGATTAACTGAAAAAAAGAAAACTGCATGGTCTGGGAGCCTAGCCAGCTATGGAGGAGGTGTGAGATTTAGGGAGCCCATGGCAAACAAAAAATAAGAGGTCTCTGGAGAGATGTTAGAACAGAGCCAGGAGCAGGTCAAGGCTGAGCCTAATGTCATGAGGTGAGGAAGTGTCAAATTCTGTTGTGCCATTGCCTTTGTACTCCTTGTTAGTACTGCCAAGCAATCTCAATAATTACCAAAGTTAATATTGTATGTACCATTTTTTGTGTCATACATATGAGAGTAGAGAGATGTTCCGTTCTCCCATTGCTCTGGGGTAATTTGACTGAATGCCATACGATGATTCAAATGCCATGTTGGCATATTGTCACTCAAAGCAATTAATTGTAATGCTATTACCAGAAATTAGAACAACAATACATAACTGTGACATTTGTAAGGCTGCCATGCACCAACCTACAGACTTATGGGCTCAGCTGAACCCGTTCCATTTGCGAATATCAGCAAGAGCTATTGACCAAAATCTTTGGAAAATGTAGTTGGAAGGAAAATTAGACTTCTGAGAGCCTAGGCCAGTTTACACTAGAGAATTCTGGTGTTTACAGTACTATGTGAACACCTGGAAGGCTTGCAAAACACATTGGACCAGACTCTTCAATCTACTATGGTCACTTTGCCCTGTCTCAGAATGGCCCTATTCTAGCCAGGGCTGGCCAGTGGAGAGGGCACCTTCTGCAGGGGGACTCTCTGCTAGCATAGAGGTGGCAAAGCTGCCTCCTGCCCCAGACAACCCTTCACTCTGATGTACAGGTAAGGAGCTGGTGGGGGCGTGGCAGATCAGAGCTCTTTTATGCTTGATCATTCATTGGTGTAAGGTCACTGGGTGGCTATATGCTGACGGTGTATGTCAGAAATGCTCCTCAGGCAGCTCTAACTGGTGGCTAGTTACATAGAATCAGGAAACTGCAGCAGACTCCCTGATGACCTCCAGCACCCAAGCTCAGGAGTGCTGGAACAATTTTTATAAGTGGGGGTGCTGAGAGCCAAACTGTAAACCCTGTATATAACGGAATCCACTTCAAGCCAGGGTTTGTAGAAGCACGCCTAGTTCCAGCACCCAGGTTCAAGCTCTTCTTGTGCATAGTTCAGAATCCAACCTGCTGTATCTATGTATGAAAGTGCTCTAAACATTTCGCAAGCATTACAAGAACTGTTACAATTGCATAAGTGCCAGGCCTCAACTCTTTCACTGCTAATGTAAACAAAAAGTACAGGCAATGGACATGGACCTGCACCTGCTAATTTGATCCTCCCAGAACAGTCCCACAATGCTCCTCTATGCCCCTCAGCAACTACTTGGACAAAAATGTAAGCTGTGCTCAGGGCAACTCTCCATAACATCCCATACCATGCAGAATGCCCTGCACTCACCTTCGGCCACAGTAGCTTGTCATCAGAATCACTTTTATGAGACTGCTGTGTTTTGGGGCATGTTACTTGCCAGTATTGAATCCAAAGTTCTCTTGGGGACCTGGAACAATTAAGAGATCCAGAATTAACTGAACTCCACCAACCAGGATGGCATGGTATATAGCAAAGAATCCCAGTAGTGGGCTGAACTCTGTATTAATCACAGCCCCTAATCAAACAGGGAGAAGATCAAGAGTCTGAAAATAAGATTTATTAACTCTTAGCACAATAAGTAGAGTTCTTGGTCAGTAAGGCATTCCTACAGCTTCTTTAATGAGCTAGAACATATTCTCAGCCTCAAAACATTGATTTTGGACAGCAAAAATGCCCCCAAATAGCATAGGCATAGTTTGACTTCTTTATTTCGGATGGCAGCTCCAATCAGGCCAATGCGTAGGGGGGGCAAATTCTGTGCCTGCCTGAGGCTTTCAGTTTGTGGGGGAAATGCCCCCTCCCCACCCCCTCCACCACACCCCCCAAAAAAAAGACGTCCATGCCTAATAGCATGCCTGTGAGGGAGCAAAAGGGTAAGTCTCTGCCATTTTCTATATTTTTGGGAAGATAGATTATTCACCTGATATTCCAAATATCCTCCTGCTCCCACAGAATCTTGCACATTCTTTCACAAACCCCAGGATCTCTGTCAGGTACTGTAGGTTAGGTAGGTCTGGATACTTTCAGTTTATTGGTACTTCAACACTGGTAATTACAAGAAGACCTTGCAGAGTTTCTCCAGGCCTGTCAATCTAGTAGCCTTCATAAATGCTACATTCCTACAAAAGATTTTGAGAAAAAATGTTTCTTCTGGACTCTGGTCCTAACTTGTATTTTCAGGGGTTCCCAGCTCTCTGATGGGCCCAGGGCTGGCTCCAGGCACGAGCGAAGGAAGCAGGTGCCTGGGGCAGCCAAGAGAAAGAGACGGCACTTTGTCCATGATTGGGGCAGCACATCTGCGTCTTCAGCAGCAATTCGGCGGCAGGTCCTGCTTCTTCTTTTTCTCTTTGCCACTTGGGGCGGAAAAAAGCTGGAGCCAGCCCTGGATGGGCCAGTGAGGTATTCTGTGATTTCCTTTTAGCCAGTGGTCTGTATCAGATAGAGATGTACTGCACTTCAGAGGATTGGATAGACAGATGACAAGGGAAACCACAATAAGAAATCAGGGCACTCCAAAAGAACAAGATAAATCAGGGATTAGTACAGCACAAATTGTTTTCTTTAAATCTAATCCTATAAGGTATCCTGGAGTAGCAGTTTTTCATAAGGGGGAGGAGAGTGAGTGCAACTATTGTACAGTTTTGGTTATCTAAAGGTCCCGGTGGGCACTGGAAATATTTATATAATAAAGGGGTTCAGATAGCTGGGGTGCTGGTCTGGCTCAAAAGGACACAGCATGATTTCAGCTACAGCTTCACTTTCTTGTGTCTTCTGGGCCAGATAGCCTTAAGGTCACTAGCTAGTGGTCCTTGCTCATCAAATCCTCATTTACCTTAATCCCCATTCGAGTACATGATTCCATCTGGATAACAAGATTTCATGTAAGTGAGATACAGATAAATGATATTGATACCAAATTTTACACTTCTGTAAATCCGGGGGAGGGGAGAAGTATCACCAAGGAGGTTATTTTTCCAAACACCGCTACCATTGTAATATAAAAATAGATTTTGTTAGTGATAATTAAAACTCTTGCCTTTCTTGACTTTTAAATTCTTTCAGATTTTCTGGACAATTACTCTGTCAAATTTAAACAGTAAAGAGCTCTCTAAATCATAAAACAAAGCTTGCTGCCTTCTGTATATTTCAATTTTCTTTGTTTTTATGAGCTTGCAAATCAGTAAGCACTTTGTGCTGTTTGCAACCCAAAATGAGCAGGTCAGGATGTTTACAAGGGAGCCCCAGTTCTAAAAATTTCAGTTTGTATTTTAATTATTATTATTTCCACTTCATCATAATGTAAAAATCCAGCCAATTAAAACTTCCGTTTCAGTGGATATTGCTTCTATGTTTTAATAAAATACTGCTAATCAAATTACTATGAGCAATGCGTCTAAATAAAACCTTAAAAAATGAGGTGAGCAACTTTCTGTTCTAACATGGCCATCTGTCATATGTAAAGACATCACCCCATTAACCTGCCTACTCAACTCCATTCTCCTTTCAAAGTTGGTTAGGCAAGTTTATGGGGAGGCCTAGATGTTCTTTTGTTTAAATCTGTTGTAAAACCTCCTTCCTTGTGTTCTGCTTTCTGTGCATTTACGCGTGTAAAGGTGAAGTGATTATAAACAGACGTCACTACTGTAAACTCCATGGCTCTGTTATATTACCATATGTGACATTTTCATTTCCTCCTGGCAAAAATGAAATCTGATATTTTCTTTTCAAGGAATCATGACTAATATAGATTGTTATATTGATGGCTGTCTTAAAAATACTCCAATTCCTGTTTTAGTTGGTTTGTTGTTTTTTCATTTTGTTCCAAGAATGTAGAATTTTTTTCCAGTGTGACAAAAGTGGTTCTACATGTTATAACACCACCTTGCGGCATGCTACCTCAGGCCTGGCTATTGCTGGGGGATCTCCAAAGAGAACCCAAGGGGCTGCAAGAACTGATGTTGACAGGAACATAGCTGAGTTTAAATTTTGAAGTGAAGTGTTGAACTCATTATCGTCTCCCCTGACAACCCCCAGCAAACCCCCAGCAGATACCTGCCTCTGATCTTTCCACTGTTCCCTCCTTACAATCTAGTTTTTACCAAAGACAATATGGTCAAAAATTAGCCCTGATGTAGGTGAATATAATTCCACTGAAGTTGCATCAATTTACAGTGGTCTGATGCCTTCAACCAGGAATCTGCTATTGTAGTAGTAGGATTTATTGTTTGTATTTTGTATAATTTAAAATAAAGAATAATAAAATGTAGCATGGTGTCAGAAGTGTGCTTCTTATAACCATAACACTATGTGTGTTCCACCAATAACAGAAGACCTGGAGTTTAGCATAGTCCAAAGGGTAAAATGAAGGCAATTTCTAGCTTATTGAATTGTGTTATTAGCAAAAGAGATTTACATACAATTGCTATTATAAGATGTAAATTCATTACCAAATCAAGGAAAAGCCTAAGAATCATGGCATACCAGAAAGAAAAGGAGTACTTGTGGCACCTTAGAGACTAACCAATTTTATTTGAGCATAAGCTTTCGTGAGCTACAGCTCACTTCATCGGATCCGATGAAGTGAGCTGTAGCTCACGAAAGCTTATGCTCAAATAAAATTGGTTAGTCTCTAAGGTGCCACAAGTACTCCTTTTCTTTTTGCGAATACAGACTAACACGGCTGTTACTCTGAAACCTGTCATTATGCACGGCATACCAGAAGAATCATGATATAAGAATATTAGTATGATATGGCAGTACTGTACTGTACTTTGGCACAACATTTATAGTACTTTGTTACATTATTATGCACAGGAATCTTGCAGTTCCAATGGTCCCATTTAGATAAAAAAGATGCACTAATGAAGGGCTAGATCCTGAAAATGCTTTGACTCGGTGGGTGCGCACCTGTTCAAATCATTTAATAGAACCTACATGAAAATGTCAGAAGCATTTTGTTCAGATTACATTTTCAGCATGGTGGAAACAGTCTTTATCCTTTTAACAAAAGATGTAGTCAAACAGATACAAAATTGTAACAGATTTTATAATTTAGCTGCACCTACACTTGCTGATCAATTTTTAAATACTGAGGATGGAACTCTTGCCTAAGGCCTGGTCTACACTACGGGGTTAGGTCAAATTTAGCCGCGTTAGGTCAATTTTAAAATGAATGCGTCCACACAACCAACCCCATTCCGTCGACTTAAAAGGCTATTAAAATCAACTTCTCTACTCCTCTCCGGCAAGGGGAGTAGAGCTAAAATCGACCTTGCTGGGTCGAATTTGGGGTAGTGCGGATGCAAATCAATGGTATTGGCCTCTGGGAGCTATCCGAGAGTGCTCCATTGTGACCGCTCTGGACAGCACTTTGAACTCCGATGCACTAGCCAGGTACACAGGAAAAGCCCTGGGAACTTTTGAATTTCATTTCCTGTTTGGTCAGCGTGGTGAACTCAGCAGCACAGGTGACCATGCAGTCCCCCCAGAATCGCAAATGAGCTCCAGCATGGACCGAAAGGGAGGCACTGGATCTGATTGCTGTATGGGGAGAAGCATCTGTGCAGACAGAACTCCAATCAAAAAGAAGAAATGCAAATATATTTGCCAAAATCTCACAGGGCATGTTGGAGAGAGGCTACAACAGGGACACACAGCAGTGCCGTGTGAAAGTTAAGGAGCTGAGGCAAGTCTACCAAAAGACAAAGGAGGCAAACGGTCGCTCCGGGTCAGAGCCCCATACATGCCGCTTCTATAATCAGCTACATGCCATTATAGGAGGGGACCCTATCGCTACTCCACCACTGTTCATGGACACCTGCAAGGGAGGAGTCTCACGCAACATGGAGGAGGATTTTGTGGATGAGGAAGAGGAGGTGGACAAGGAGGAGGAGAATGCGCAGCAGGCAAGGGGTGAATCTGTTCTCCGCCACAGCCAGAACCTTTTCATCACCCTGGAGCCAATACCCACCCAAGGTGGGATCCCCGACCCTGAAGCTGGAGAAGGCACCTCTGGTGAGCGCACATTTGTAACTACAGTACAGGGTTTGAAAGCAATAGTGTTTAAAGTTTGATTTGCCCTGAAGAATTGGGATGCATTTGCAGCCAGTACAGCTACTGGAAAAGTCTGTTCACGTGTCTGGGGATGGAGCGGGAATCCTCCAGGGACATCTCCATGAAGCTCTCCTGGAGGTACTCTGAAAGTATTTTGGAATCATTGCAGCACAAAGCATGGTAGCGAATGGTCCTGGGTTTGGGTCACATTCAAGCAACATTCGGTCTATATCTTTCTGTGTTAGCCTCAGGAAAGTGATCATTCATGGTCACCTGGTTGAAATAGGGGAATTTTTGTAAGGGAACAGTAAAAGGACCCCATTCATGCTGGGCTGTTTCCGCTTGGCTAAAAGG